TCCATAAACTTCAGAAAAAAGATTCTACCAGACTTCTACAACTGTTTCTCAAAATTGCAGTCTGAACATATTCAAACGTCTATGAAATTCTCTGTGAGACTTTTTAAATTTTGTTTTCATTTCAGTGATAGCTTCAAAATATTAGTAAAACCATCTTATAATTGAAAACTTCCAAAAGATATTAATACATCTATTTTCAATCAAGTGATACTGATTAGTTCCTCTTTAATTCTCAGGGACTAATGTAGAAAAGAGCAAAAGCAAACTTAAAACTTAAATGCATTCAAGCCCACATGAGGGCCAAATGATGTCACCCTTCCCACTCAGATAAAGGTTTTTTAGTGCTAGTTCAAATAGCCAAAGAGGTGGAAGAGCTGAGTCATCATGTTTTATATACATATTTTTATATATATATTTCAAAACAATCTGTAAGATAAGTTTATATACGTATATCACAAGCAATAATTTAATTTAGTAAATTATCATCTGTAACATATTAAATTGTTATAATTAGAATAGTACTATGGTGTCTGTAGATGCAATCCACCTTTATGGTTTTATAAGCACAATTTAATGTTAAGAATTATTAACTAGCCGGGCCAGGCGCAGTGGCTCATGCCTGTAATCCCAGCACTCTGGGAGGCCGAGGTGGCTGGATCACGAGGTCAAGAGATTGAGACCATCCTGGTCAACATGGTGAAACCCCGTCTCTACTAAAAAAAAAAAATACAAAAAATTAGCTGGGCGTGGTGGCACGTGCCTGTAATCCCAGCTACTCGGAAGGCTGAGGGAAGAGAATTGCCTGAACCCAGGAGGCGGAAGTTGCAGTGAGCCGAGATCCCGCCATTGCACTCCAGCCTGGTTAACAAGAGCAAAACTCCGGCTCAAAAAAAAAAAAAAAAGAATGATTAACTAGTCTTATAATTCTGTAATTTCTGTGATATTATAATAAAAATGAAGTCAACAATGGGGTTTTGTGAGAATATTATTTGTATTTAAAAGGAGTCAATGCCTTAACCTAGTTTGAGAAAACAATGCTCTTATAAGCAGATTGCTCTCTTGTCCTTCTTCCTAATTCCTTAAGCTACTGGGTTTGTGGTGGTACCAACCCTGGGTCCTGAGCCTAGGAGAAGGGAGAATGGTTCAGATCAGGGTTTTCTGAGCCATCCTAATACATGGGTAGTGGTATTTCATTGTGATTTGAATTTGCATGTCCCTAATGACAGGATTTTGACTATCTTTTCATGTGTTTATCTGCCATCTATGTATCTAGAATGCATGGCTTACCACCCAATGCTCAGAGGCCATCAGACATTCACCTGTCATAGTTCTACTAGATTGAGATAAAAATCTCTTCTCCTACTGCCTGGTTCTCTGATACTATCTAAATCTCTAAAGCCTTTTTCAAATTTAAGAATCTTAAGAATTTTTCTTCCTATAAGATGCCAGTGTAATTTGAGTACATCTCCAATATAAGACATTCTGCCACTGAAAATTGTATTTTATTACTGTTAAAAACAAAGATATATTAAAAATAAGGTTTAAAGCAAATATTAAAACTTAAGTTCAGTACCAATAGAGATAAGATTAATTAAAGACCAAGATGAGAAGTAATATCTACAATTTATACATTCAAAAATATTTGTTGAGTGTCTATTATATGTTAGGTACTATTGCTGGTACTGAGAATAAGGCAGTCCAGGTACAGTGGCTCATGCCTGTAATTCTAGCACTTTGGGAGGTCAAGATGGGAGAACTGTTTGGGCACAGGAGTCTGAGACCAAACTGCTTAACACAGTGATATCGTATCTCTACAAAAAATAAAAAATGAGCCAGGTGTGGTGGTGGTTCCTGCCTGTAGTCCCAGCTACTTGGGAGGATGAGGTGGGAGGATCACTTGAGCCCGGGAGGTTGATGCTATAGTGAGCCGTGATTGTGCCTGCACTCTAGCCTAGGTGACAGAGTGAGACCCTGTCTCAACAAATAGAGAGAGAGAGGACGAGACAGTAGAAGGAACATACAAACATTAGATATATAATATGCTACGGGGTGAAAGCTGTGTTGGAGAAGAAACAAAGCACAGTAAGAGGGCAGCTGGGATATGGTTAATACTTATATGGTTTGGAAAGTCCTCACTGATAAGGTGACAGGATAGAATAAGCCATGTGGATATTTAGAGGAGGAAGGTTCCAGGTTGAAGAACATGAAATACTCCTCTAACGGAAGCATCTATGGGCATGTGAAAGGAATTACAAAGAGGCACAGGTTTACTAATTTGCAAAGCAAATGAACTAGACAACAAAATACTATCTTAAGACACTTAGTTCCATATATGTTGTGGTTTTTGCAATTACTTTTAATGGCAAAAACCGCAATTACTTTTGCACCAACTTAATAAAACCATCTATTCAAAATATAGAATAAATGTATAAAAGTTCATGATTTCCATTCTACTATAAGGACACATGCACATGTATGTTCATTGCAGCACTGTTTACAATAGCAAAGACCTGGAATCAACCCAAATGCCCATCAATGATAGACTGGACACAGAAATGTGGCATATGTGTACCATGGAATACTATGCAGCCATAAAAAACAATGAGTTCGTGTCCTTTGTAGGGACATGGATGCACCTGGAAACCATCTTTCTCAGCAAACTGACACAAGAACAGAAAATCAAACACCATCTGTTCTCACTCATAGGTGAATATTGAACAAGGAGAACACATGGACACAGGGAGGGGAGCATCACACACTGGGGTCTGTTGGGGGGAAACAGTGGAGGGGCAGCATGGGGTGGGGAGTTGGGGAGAGATAGCATGGGGAGAAATGCCAGATATAGGTGATGGGGAGGAAGGCAGCAAATCACACTGCCATGTGTGTACCTATGCAACAATCTTGCATGTTCTTCACATGCACCCCAAAACCTAAAATGCAATTAGAAAAAAAAAGTTCATGTTTTTTTAAAAATAATCTCAGACCTGTGTGAGAGGTTTTTCAATTAAATGCATCAATTTAGCTAGAAAAATTCTGACATTTTCTAAAGGAAGTATTTTTCAAAATTCTTTTAAAACCAATCTTACTTGTCACAAAAAACAGTTATCACAGTTAGGCAAGTACACAGTATAATCTGCATTTATCTCTAAATATAGAAACAAAGACAAAGACAGATAAATGGGATATTCAGTACCTACTTTTTTTCAGAGGGTTCTGTTAGAAGCAAAGAAAAGTAGGGCCCCTTTCTCACTTGGGAAAATAAATCACCTTGGAAAAAACTGAAAAGCATTAGTCTACAGTTACTACTTAAAAGCAAAAAAATACAACTTTTAAAAAGTGAATTTTATTTTGCACAGGATTAAGTCAAGCAACAGTATGAACTAATAATAAAATAAGACTATATAGTCATCCTGCTGTATCCATGGGGGAATGGTTCCAGGATTCCTCTGCAGATACCATAATCCATGGATGCTCAAGTCACTCATATAAAATGGTACAGTGTTTGTATATAACCTATGTACACTCTCTTGTATACTTTAAATCAACTTTAGATTACTTATAATACCCAATATGATTTACATGCTATGTAAGTCACTGCTAAACTGTATTGTTTAGGGAAAGAGGGAAAGAAAGTCTGTACATGTTCAGTACAAAGACAACAATCCTTTTCTCTTTTTCCAAACATATACATATTTTTAGAGACAGAGCGAGACTGGAGTACAGGCATGATCATGGCTCACTGCAACCTCAACCTCCTGGGTCCAAGTGATCCTCCTGCCTCAGCCTCTTGAGTAGCTGAGAATGCAGGGTCATACAACCACACCCATTGTTTTTTCAAATATCTCCTCTCCTTAGTTGATTGAATCCATGGATGTAGAACCCACAGATACAGACGGCCAACTGTATACATAAATTCCTATTCAATCAAGTATCTTTATAAACTATTTCAAAGTTCCCTATTCTCCTTGACCAGAAAATATATAAATTTGAATTTATCATTTTAACCAACTACAATAAACTATAAAAGACGAACATCACCCAAGATAAACTATATCACTTGACTTTAATTCAAAATAAACTAAAAAGCCATTAAAGTATGTAGAATTTTTTGAATGCTACATTTTCTCCCTTGACTTTTTCCTCGGTTTTATAAATCTCAAAGGCAGTGTGGTAGTTTATATCACTTATAGATATTCTTTATGTTGCAAAGATCCAAAACTTTAATTTTCCAAAAACAAATCTAAAAATAATAAAGTCATAACCAAATTTTATCTCAGTTTAAGGAACTGTCTTTTCTTGAGATGAAGCATGACTAAAATTGAGAAGCCTGAATGATGATGAGGCTGTGGAAGAACTGAAACATCTGACAGATGGGAATGTTAAAGCTTATACATCACAACCCCTTACAATATCCTGTCATCTTCAGACTTCTGATCACAATGCCCATTACTAAAAACCAATCCACCAGTAATCTTTCAAGATTTGCTTACTGGCACTTTCATTACTATCATTCCAACACCCCTTAATAGTGACCTTTGACCATTTGAAGCAAACCAAAGCCTACCTCACACAAAACGGCACAGAACACAATAATATATTATCTAAACCTAAAATACTTACAATAAAACTAATGACTGCAACAAAGAAATGGACCTAGGCAATTTCATGAAGTTTTACTATTTATATTTACTGCAGTATGACAAATGTGATATAAAGCATACACAAAAAGTAGACAATGAGAACTAAGAAAAGGAGGAATTACATGAACTTTTAAAAACATCATTCAAATCTGCTCCAGGCTCAAATTATTAAAAGAATAAAATAATCTCAGCAGATGAACTAATTTAAGATGATGGTGATGTCTGCTATAGCAATTAGACTGTACCACCTTTAAAAAGTCATCCATTTTACATTTTCCTCTAATTTTATTACTTGATACTATAAGTCAGTGAATGTAATATAAAAGAAAAGAAAAGAAAAAAGGGGGGATAAAAACTTACTGGGATTGAAAACTCCTCAGCCAAATACTTCAAGGAAGATGCTTCTCTTGCCAAGAATTTGTTTCTTTCTTTGAGATTGCCTGGAAGTTGTGTATCAAATTCCTTTCTGACCACAGAAGCAACAGAGTCAATAATCACAAGTTTAACTCCTTTTGAGATAATTTCTTCTTCCAAAGATTCAATCCTATAAAAGAAGAATTTATAAAATGGTCGATAAATTTAAGGTATAATAAATAAATAAGGGTGTTGCAATGGCTAAGTAACTTAAAAACAGTAACAAACTATTCTTCCCTACGTTACAGTAATGGTTTGCAAGAATTCAATAAATCCACCTTATTTTCAGGTCTTCTAGACATATCATACTTTTCTGGGAACAGAGAAAACTGTTTCTGGGTAGTTTCAAAATTCCTTGGTTCTCCTAAGATAATGCTAACGCTCCAATTCTGGGGTAAACTACTTGTGGCAGCCAGTCTGCAAAATGGCCCATACTTACTCCCTCCTCTTGGTATTTCACATCCTTGTGTAGGCCCCTCCCACAGTATACCAGACTTGATCTGTATGACCACAAGCATATGACAAAATGATGGTACTTTATTTCTGAGTGTAGGTTATAAAAGACTACAGCTTCCATCTTGGGTACTGCTTCACTTGCCCAGTCTCTCAGGTCACTTATTCTGGGGGAAGCAAGTTGCCATGTTGTGATTTGTGGAGAGGCCCAGATGGTAAGGAACAAAGGCCTCTTGCCCACTGCCAGCAAGGAACAGAGATCTTCCAACAACTACATTAGGGAGTTTGGAAGCAGACACTCCAGCTCCAGTTAAGCCTTGAGATAACTGCATCCCTGGCTACCAGCTTGCCTAGAACCTCTTGAGCAACACTGAGTGAGAAACATCCAGCTAAGCCACTCCCAGACATTTAACCCTCAGAAACTATGTGAAATAATATACATTTGCTGTTTTAAGCTACTAAACTGTGAGACAATTTGTTAATCATACAATAGATAAGTAATGTACCACTTAAATAATTAAATCTAAAATATTTTATTCATTTAATTTTCTCATTTTTAAAGAAAGACTTCAACCAAAAGGCTATATAGCAAAGAAAAACACTGAAAAAGTTATTCTAATAATTCTAACCTGTAAAGACTTCTCTCACTCAGAAGCTGAAAACATAAAAGATAAAACATAAACCTTCAAGTCATTACTAAAAAATCAAAATCTAAAGCAGCATACCTTTGCAGAACTTCATCACACGTGAGCTCCCGATAAAGATGAACTTTACTACTTGTCAAAAGTAATTTTTCTTCAGTGTTAAAATATCTGGGAAAACGGGATTCTGCTATCTCAACCAGTCTGTGGGTGAAAAAAAAAAAAGCACAAACAAAAATAACCAATTCTATTTAAAGCCACATTGCTGAATCTCTAATTAATTTTATTTGAGAAACTTATCAGCCTTATCAATAGAGCAGGTATAAGCAAAATAGCTTAATATGGAGGTTTAGAATGTAAGCTCGCTTTTGTAAGCACTAACAGAGGTTAGCAGTCAGAGCACGAAACCAGCAAGGGCTTTTGGATCTCATCTAACCGTGAGCAAAAAACAATGTCTCTGAGATTTATCTTTCTGGGATTAAATATGGTTTTGGTAAATGATATTTAGAGGAGCAGCTGTAAGATATGTATACTAAATAAGAATGCTTTCATTTTCTTGAATAAAATAAGTATATGAACAAATATGGTATATGATATTCCAATAACCAAGTATTAGTAAGTCTTCATGTCTCAGTCCAGAAAAATATACTTTCTCAAATGAAACAATTCATGCAAATTAATGCCATGCAATAATTCCTTGGTAAACAGAAAATTATGGCCCAAACAAATTAATGTTATCCAATAATTTCTTAGTCAAACAAAAAATGATTTTCTAAACACTGAATTTTAGCCTCAAAGCCAGTTTTTTGTTTGTTTGTTTTTACTTTAAGTTCTAGGGTACATGTGCAGATCATGCCAGTTTGTTACATAGGTATACACGTGCCATGGTGGTGGTTTGCTGCATCCATCGGCCTGTCATCTACGTTAGGTATTTCTCCTAATTCTATCCCTCCCCAATCCCCCGCCCCCTGCTATTCCTCCCCTAGACCCACCCCCCAGGCCCTGGTTCCCCTCCCTGTGTCCATGTGTTTTCATTGTTCAATACCCACTTATAAGTGAGAATATGCAGTGTTTGGTTTTCTGTTCTTCTGTCAGCTTGCTGAGAATGATGGTTTCTAGCTTCATCCATGTTCCTGAAAAGAACATGAACTCATTCTTTTTTATGGCTGCATAGTATTCCATGGTGTCTATGTGCCACATTTTCTTTATCCAGTCTATCATTGATGGGCATTTGGGTTGGTTCCAAGTCTTTGCTATTGTGGACAGTGCTGCAATAAACATTACCTGTGCCTGTGTCTTTATAATAGAATGATTTATAATCCTTTGGGTATATACGCAGTAATGGGATTGCTCGGTCAAATGGTATTTCTATTTCTAGATCCTTGAGGAATCGCCACACTGTCTTCCACAGTGGCTGAACTAATTTACACTTCCACCAACAATGTAAAAGTATTCCTATTTCTCCACATCCTCACTACCCATCTGGTGTCTCCTGATTTTTTGATGATCGCCATTCTAACTGGCCTGAGGTGGTATCACAACGTGGTTCCGAATTGCATTTCTCTAATGACCAGTGTTGATGAGCTTTTTGTCGTACATTTGTTGGTTGCATAAATGTCTTCTTTTGAGAAGTGTCTGTTCATATCCTTTGCCCCCTTTTTGATGGGGTCGTTTGTTTTTTTCTTGTAAATTTGTTTAAATTCTCTGTAGATTCTGGATATTAGCCCTTTGTCAGATGGGTAGATTGCAAAAATTTTTTCCCATTCTGTTGGTTGCCAGTTCACTCTAATGATAGTTTCTTTTGCTGTGCAGTAGCTCTTAATTAGATCCCATTTGTCTATTTTGTCAAAGCCAGTTTAATATATGCAGTATGCCAAACACAAGAGAGTGACAAGTTAAAACACCATCATTCATATTGTAAGATATGGAAAGCATTACTAGAAATTTCTCATATTTATGGTTAAAAATGTTAAAACTACTAGTCTTTGAGTTTAACCATCTCATTTCATTTTAAATGTGTTTTTTTGTTTGTTTTGTTTTGTTTCAGACAGAGTCTCACTCTGTCGCCAGACTGGAGTGCAGTAGCACAATCTCGGTTCACTGCAATTTCTACCTCCCAGGTTCAAGTGATTCTCCTACCTCAGCCTCCCGAGTAGCTGGGACTACAGGCACATACCGCCACACCCAGTTAATTTTTTAGTAGAGATGGGGTTTCACCATGTTGGCCAGAATGGTCTTATCTCCTGACCTCCTGATTCGCCCGTTGGCCTCCCAAAGTGCTGGGATTACAGGAATGAGCCACCACACCTGGCCCATTTAAAATGTTTTGAGTTTAAACATCGCATTAGATTTTAAATAAAGTGTCATTTTATCAGCCCTAGTACTTACCTAGCCATCCCAGGGAACTGGGAGGAGAGGCTGTAAACCTGAAAACCATCCTATATTTTATGTTCCATTTAGAGACTCAAAAATACAAAAGAACAGTGTTTTCACTTCTAAATAATTAGAGTTCTGGGTCTCTGCTGAGAACTTTAAGAAGATAAACAAAGTCCTTACATTTGCTATAATCAGAAATAAAAGAGAAAACCCTAAAACAGGAAAAGAGAAGAGAGAACTTCAACAACTTTTTTAAAGTATACTTTTGAACAATTTGAAAAGAAAAATAAACATAGTTAAGTTGAACAGGAAGAGGAAAAAAATACTTCATGAGTAAAGAATAATACCAAAAGAGGTGTAAAGAGTGAGAATAAAATGGGTCAAATAACCATCCAGGAAAAGAGCTTAAGAGAGGCACAGGGACTGAAATGGAAGAAATGAGGTAAGTGAGGAAATCAAGAAATTATATGGCATTGACACAGACAGAGGAGCCAAATCCTGAGGGTTTGGGGGAAAAAGCGTAAATTTTCTGATTAGGAAAACTATTTGCTGAGTTTAGTGTTGGTCAGAGAAGTAGCTAAAAAATCGCTGGCATTTAGAACCTACCAGTTTTTAACAAGATAGGCCTGGCAACATCTAGAAACATGGAAGTTTTTCAAACTTTGAATGCCCAGTTGATGAGGAATCAGACCGAGAGTACCTAACTTATGAGCAACAAGCATTGAACAGCTGACAATTTTCTGCCCTCTAGCACTAGGCTGGATTTCCACTAGTGGCTTGAGTAGTGAAAGGACCTGGAACTTATTGCTGCTTTCTCATTGCTGAAGGCCTCTCAGAAGGAATGGTGGTCAATGGATAGACATGAACAACCTTTATTCAAAGTTACCATGCAAGTAACTGTATTAAATGGTTATTTACACACCAATATGCTGTAATTTTTTTTTAAGACTGGGTCTCGCTCTGTCACCCAGGCTGGAGTGCAGGGGCATGATCTCGGCTCACTGCAATCTCCACCTCCCAGGTTCAAGCAATTCTCTGCCCCAGCCTCCTGAGTAGCTGGGATTACAGGTGCCTGCCACCATGCCCGGCCAATTTTTTTGTATTTTTAGTAGAGATGGGGTTTCACCATCTGGCCAGGCTGGTCTTGAACTCCTGACCTTGTGGTTTCGTTTTATTTTTATTTTTATTTTTTTAAAACAAAGTCTCTCTGTCACCAGGCTGGAGTGCAGTGGCATAATCTTGGCTCACTGCAACCTCCACCTCCCGGGTTCAAGTGATTCTCCTACCTCAGCATCCCAAGTAGCTGGGACTATAGGTAAGCGCCACCACGCCCAGCTAATTTTTGTATTTTAGTAGAGTCGGGGTTTCACCATGTTGGTCAGGACCCTCTCAATCTCCAGACCTCGTGATTCGCCCACCTCAGCCTCCCAAAGTGCTGAGATTACAGGTGTGAGCCACCGTGCCCAGCCAATATGCTATAATTTTCTATAAGTTTCTCCAGATATTTTTTATTTTATAATAAATATCTGAAAAAATATAAATCAAAAACCAAATATAAATGCAGTATTCGACATGCCCCATATTCACCCTACTAACTTCTCATGACAATCTTCATCACAAAGATCTTTTTTGTGTAAGGCAAAAAACAGAAAAGAACCTATCATTTGCTCCCAACATTAATTACATAAAGTTTGAAAATAATGCCATCTAGTGGATACCTTTTTATAAAAAGTATTCTTTTTGAAATGAGCACTTAAGATTCATTCATTTGATGAATATTTATTAAGGACCTACTATATGCCAGGTACTGTTCTAGGTGCTGATAAAATGGCAATGAACAACCACTACCACCAAAAGAAAAAAAAAAACCTTCCCTCATGGGGTTTACAGTATACTGAGGAAGACAAACAAATAAATATATATCAGGTAATAAGGCTCTAGAGGAAAATTAAGCCGGATTAGGGAACAGAATATGACAGGTGGGGCAAGTGCTATTTTATATTTTATGTAAAATGAACTGACAAAGTCTTATTAATAAGGTGACATTTGAGCAAAAGCTTAAAAGAGATGAGAAAATGAACCATCTGGATATCCAGTGAAACAGCACACAAGAATAGAGAATTGCAGCAAGTGCAAAAGCTTCTATGTGGAAAGATGCCTGGTGTGTTTGAAGAACAACAAACAGACTAATGTATCTGGAACACAGGGAGCAAGAGGGAGAATAATAGAAAACAAAGAGCTAGCCAAGGCCAAGATCACATTAAGACCTTTAGGTCTATGGTATTTTGTTTAGCTTTTATTTAGTAAAACAAGAAGCCTAGAAGCAGGAACAAATGATCTGACTTCTTTTTTTTAAGGACCACTCTAACTGCCAAATGGAGAAGAGGCTATAGATGGGCAAGAGTGAAAGCAAGGAGGTCAGCTAGCACAATAAGAGCTGGCAGTGATGTGACCCAGGGAAGTAACAGCTCAAGTGATGAGAAGTAACTGGACTCAAGATATAGTTCAAAAGAGAAGCTAAAAGAATTTGTTGGCCAGGCAGGATTGCTCATGCCTGTAATCCCAGCACTCTGGGAGGCCGAGGTGGGTGGATCACCTAAGGTGAGGAGTTAAGAGAGCAGTCTGGCCAACATGGAAAACCCTGTCTCCACTAAAAATAGAAAAATTAGCCGGGTGTGGTGGCATGTGACTGTAATCCCAGCTACTCGGGAGTCTGAGGCAAGAGAATCACTTGAATCTGGGAGACAAAGGTCGCAGTGAGCCAAGATCACGCCACTGCACTCCCGCCTGAGTAACAGAGTAAGGCTCTGTCTCAAATTAAAAAAAAA